TATGACACACAAGAGCTGGAATTGACCCATAATGGTTTTTTTTTGGCAAAGAGGAAATAGGGAAAGAGATATGTTCCCTTCCTTGGGGAAGTGATAGCGACAGTAGCCATTCATATATAGCTAACCATAATCAGCACAATCCCATCCCCAAGGAATTTGGGTAGGGATTGAACCAGTAATGGGTTCAGCTAGAGAAAGCTAAATGAAGCCTTCTCCAACGTAATTTTTTCCCAACCTGAGGGACCTCCTTGATTTTTCTCTCATTGAAAAAGTAAAAGTAGGTAGTGACTGTGCATGTGCTGCTTCTTCTTGTTCAGCAAGATGCACAATCAAGACTAAGACTCTGTCCTGTGGACAAATTACAAAAGAAACAATGGGATTCCTCCATGGGGAGATTAGGGGAGCAATGAAGGGAGTGAGTGATACTGAGAGAGAGTAGGACACCATAGTGGAAAGGAGTAGAACGGTGGGTGGGTGGAGAGAGGTATTTCACAGAGGGAGAGGGTAATGAAGTATGTGAGGGGGAGAGTATCAATTCAGTATTGAAAGGAAGGGAAGTAACTGAGGGAATGTGATGGAGAGAGTAGGGTGAGAATTAGAGAGGGCGTGGAAAAGATTAGGACTCTTCTTTAAGGGAATACGAAGGAATAACGGGTAGAATAAGACTCTGTAGTGGTTGAGAATAATAGACTGTTAGTAAGGAAGGAAATGAGTGGGTGAGAAAAAACGTAAGCAAGTAACAAAGTGGGTGAGGAAGAGAGTCAGGGAGGAATAGAGTGGGCGAGGGAGAGAGTTAGGAAGTAACTGAATGAAGAATAGAGTAAGGAAGGAGCATTGTAAGGTAGTAAGAGAGTAAGGAAGCAATAAGGCAGGTGAGGTAGAGAGTGGAGATGGAACAGAGTGGGCGAGAAGAAGAGAATAAAGAAGGAGCAATGAGGGTGAGAAGAAAGTGGTAAAGGAACATAGTGGGTGAGAAGAGAGCATGGAAGGACTAGAATGTGTGAGGGGAGACTAGAGAAGAAACATAGTCGATTTAGGAGATAGAGTAGGAAGGAAATAGAATAGGTACGGGGGGAGGGAACAAAATCTGCTAGTGTATAAGGAATAGAGTGATAGGAAAGAAACAGAGTGAAGGAGAGTGAGGAAGGGAGAAAGTAGGACAGAGTGGATGAGGAAGGAATAGAGTAAGTCATAGAAACTGTAAGAAAGGAATTGAGTGGGTGAAGAGGAGTATAAGGAAGGAATAGAATAGATGTGGAAGAGATTAAAAAAAAATAATTGAGTGGGTGTTAAAGGGAAGGAGAAAAGAATAGAGTTGGTGAGATAAAGTAGAAGGGAGAGACTAGGGAAGGAAAAGAGTGGGTGAGGAAGAGATGAAGGAATAGAGTAGGTCAGGGAGATGGAGAAAGGAGGGAATTGAGTGGGTGAAGAGGTGTGTAAGGAAAGGAAAGAAAAGAATAGATAAGGAAGAGAGTAAAAAAGGAATTGGCGTTGAAGGGAGTAAGGACAGAATAGAATGGGTAAAGGGAAAGGTGTAGAGAAAGAATGTAGAGAGTAGGTAGGGGGAAAGAGTAGGGAAGGAATAGTGTGGGTGAAGAGAAAATAAGGAGAGAAAAGAGTGGTTGAGGAGAGAGTAAGGAAGGCAAAGTTTAGGTCAGGGAGAGAGACTAAGGAAGGAATAGAATTGGTAAGGAGGAGAGTAAAAATAGAATGAGTGCTAAAGGGAGTAAAGAAGGGATAGAGCTGGTTAGAGAAAGTGTAAGAGAGGAGAGAAGGAATAGAGTATAGGTGAGGGAGAGAGTAGAAAAGGAAAAGTGTGGGTGAGGACAGAGTAAAGAAGGAAGAGTAGTGTGAGGAGAGAGTAAGGAAGGAAGAGTGGGTTAGGTAGAGAGTAAGGAATGAAAAGAGTGGTCGAGGAGAGAGTAGAGACGGAATAGAATGAGTGAGGGAGAGAGTAGGGAAGAATTACAGTGGCAAAGAGATTCAAGAAGGAATAGAGTAGCTGAGGATAGTGTAAAGAAGGAGTAGAATGGGTGAGGGAGAGAGTCGAGAAGGAATACAGCAGGTGAGCAGGGAGTCATGAAGGAATAGAGCAGGTGAGGAGAGAGTAGAGAAGGAATAGAGCAGGTGAAGAGAGTAGAGAAGGAATAGAGTAGGTGAGGGAGAGAGTTGAGAAGGTATAGAGCAGGTAAGGAGAAAGTCGAGAAGGAATGGAATAGGTGAGGGAGAGAGTAGAGAAGGAATGGAATAGGTGAGGAGAGAGTCAAGAAGGAATAGTGTAGATGAGGAGAGAGTAGAGAAGGAATAGTGTAGGTAAGGAGAGAGTAGAGCAGGAATGGAATAGGTGAGGTGAGAGTAGAGAAGGAATGGAATAGGTGAGGAGAGAGTCAAGAAGGAATAGTATAGGTGAGAGAGAGAGTAGAGAAGGAAATGAGTGGGTGAGGGAGAGAGTAAGGAAGGAAATGAGTGGGTGAGGGAGAGAGTAGAGAAGGAAATGAGTGGGTGAGGGAGAGAGTAGAGAAGGAAAGGAGTGGGTGAGGGAGAGAGTAGAGAAGGAAAGGAGTGGGTGAGGGAATAGAGAAGGAAAGGAGTGGGTGAGGGAGTAGAGAAGGAAAGGGGTGAGGGAGAGAGTAGAGAAGGAAAGGAGTGGGTGAGGGAGAGAGTAGAGAAGGAAATGAGTGGGTGAGGGAGAGAGTAGAGAAGGAAATGAGTGGGTGAGCGAGAGAGTAGAGAAGGAAAGGAGTGGGTGAGGTAGTAGAGAAGGAAAGGAGTGGGTGAGGGAGTAGAGAAGGAAAGGAGTGGGTGAGGGAGAGAGTAGAGAAGGAAATGAGTGGGTGAGGGAGAGAGTAGAGAAGGAAATGAGTGGGTGAGGGAGAGAGTAGAGAAGGAAATGAGTGGGTGAGGGAGTAAGGATAGATTAGTGTGGGTGAGGGAATAGAATGGTAAAAAAAAGGAGATTCAGAATAAAGCCGTATGGCTCTGTATTCACAGCCACTGCTTTTACTTGTACAGGATAATTATTGTAATTAACCCATCAGCTGAAAAGTCCCGATCTGTTTCACCAATCAGAGGCAGAGAAGAAAGCCAGCGGCATTAACCTCTTTTTTGCCAGACTGAACTACGGGGCACATAGGGACAGTTCCAAGGCGGGCAGATATGTAGAAGGTGTGGTCCGAGGGCTTCCAGTCATGCTGGAGGACGGTGATAGGACTCTGCTCACGATGGAACGCTATATATCCTTTATACGAGCAGATGTATGCAAAATCCTGATGTGTGAATGATCTAGCGGAAGACTGAGCACACTGCAATTGAAAAAAACAATTCTTTGAATATGTCTATGGATTTTGAACATGTAGTAATTCAAACACCCTGCTTCTCGAAATGCACTTTTGAGTAGATGCAAATGCACCATTTGCTAGATGGCTGTAATTGATATTGTATTATACCACTTCTGCATAGATAGATGTGTGTGTGTGTGTGTGTGTGTATATCGTATATATATATGTGTGTGTAGTATAGATATGCACTATATTGCCAAAAGTATTGGGCCCCTCCCCCTCCAAATCATTAAATTCAGGTGTTCCAATCACCTCCATGGCCCCCGGTGTATAGGATGAGGCACCTCGGCATGCAGACACTGCTACAAACATTTGTGAAAGAATAGGTCGATCTCAGGAGCTCAGTGACTACAAGCGTAGTATCGTGATAGGTTGTCACCTGTGCAATAAGTCCATCCGTGACATTTCCTTGCCACTAAATATTCCACGGTCACCTGTTAGCGGTATTATAACAAAGTGGACGCAACTGGGAACAACAGCAACTCAGCCATGAAGTGGTAGGCCACGTAAAATGATAAAGTGGAGTCAGCGCATGCTGAAGCGCACAGTGCGCAGAAGTCGCCAACTGTCTGCAGAGTCAATAGCTACAGACCTCCAAACTTCGTGTGGCCTTCAGATTGGCACAACAACAGTGCGTAGAGAGCTTCATGGAATGGGTTTCCATGGCCGAGCAGCTGCATCCAAGCCTTACATCACCAAGCACAATGCAAAGCGTGGGATGCCGTGGTGTAAAGCACGCCGCCACTGGACTCTAGAGAAGTGGAGATGTGTTCTCAGTAGTGCCCAATCACGCTTCTCTGTCTGGCAATCCCATGGACTTTTCTGGGTTTGGCGGTTGCCAGGAGAACGGTACTTGCCTGACAGCTTTGTGCCAAGTGTAAGGTTTGGTGGAGGGGGGATTATGGTGTGGGCTTGTTTTTCAGGGGTTGGGCTTGGCCCCTTAGTTCCATTGAAGGGAACTCTTAAGACATCAGTATACCAAAACATTTTGGACAATTTCACGCTCCCAACTTTGTAGGAACAGTTTGGGGATGGCCCCTTCCTGTTCCAACATGACTGTGCACCAGTGCACAAAGCAAGGTCCATAAAGACATGGATGGGGGAGTTTGGGGTGGCGGAACGTGACCATCCTGCACAGAGTCCTGACCTCAACCCGATAGAACACCTTTGGGAGGAATTTGAGCGTAGACTGCGAGCCCGGCCTTCTCCTCCAACATCAGTACCTGACCTGACAAATGGTCCAACATTCCCATAGACACATTCCTAAACCTTGTGGACGCCTTCCCAGAAGAGTTGAAGCTGTTATAGCTGCAAAGGGCGGAGCCAACCCAATACTGAACCCTACGGACTAAGACAGGGATGCCATTAAAGTTTATGTGCGTGTAAAGGCCGGCGTCCCAATACTTTTGTCAATATAGTGTATGTCTGCCCGTCATTCCCTACGCCTGTCCAGCCATCATAGTCTGTGTTCAATCATTCTGTATTGTCATCGTCTCTGTCCATCCATCAATGACTGTGTGAGTGCTGCAAGTAATACAATTCCTCTTGCAATAATTTTTTGCATTTTAGTTTTTGTTGTAGTAAAAAAAAACTAATCCACATTACAATACCTATATACATTTTAAGAGTATTTTTTTTGTTTTTGTGCTAACTTTATTACAGATCCTTGCCTACTACTCTTCTGTAGACATGGAGGTAGGCCCTTCCAGTGTTCTTGCTGAAATATTTCAAAACGAGTGCTAAGTACAAGGTTCTTTCTTATACTCACACGATCAGTCCCATTGCTATAATAGGAAACACTGCACGTCATACATTGCATTCCGATATTTAACTCCCGAACGTTGAAATGCTCAGTGCAGTAGGACGTTGCCAGGGATGCCACATTCTATGCAACAGGCTGCCTGATATTTGACCCTCAAGCAGGAGAACAAAAATTACGGGAAACTGTGTTCACAGATTTAATGCAAAAAGGGATTTTTTTTTGGGTGCAATTCGCAATTGAGATATCTGTAGAGATTGAGAGGATTTTTTTTAAATTGATCTTTATGATTTTATAATGAACTGGAGAAAAAAATGAACCTACTTGTCGTCTGATTTGTAAAATTTTCAATCATGGTCAGCCAGTCTTGAGATCCAGATATCCCTGCCAGACAGCACAGCCAGGTTCTGAACTCACTGCAGTCAAGCAATGCAGCTTGGTCAAAGAGCCCCCCCTCCTTCCCCAGCATGCCGTCTGAGCAAAAAGGAGCAGCGGTGCACAAATGAAATCATGAGCCCCTTGCTTCTTCCTGAAAGCATGCTCACAGTGTTCAATTGACAATGTGCAATGCAATGTAGCATGATTTTTTCAACTCTGCTGTCTGTCCCTATGCTTGTCTGCTGCACAGAGGATTTCAGTAAGCCGATATAAAGACAGGATTCACATACTTACGTTATTGCATTTCATGAATATCTAACCTCATTACATTGCCATTTTCCGTAATACTTGCTTGGCGTCCAGGTGTAATGGGGAGTGTGAGGGGATATTGGTCATCCGGGACAGAATGAAGCACGTTTCACCGACTCACCTGAAAACTGTCCCAGAAAACGATTTTATTTTATTGTGTGGATCGAAGTTTTGTAGCAGATGTGCTTCCCCGCCTGTAACTATAGAGAGTCTTTGTGTTTTCTGTGCAGGTCCATCCGCTGTTAGTCCGCGAAAGAAGAAGCGACTCATCCAAGACCAAATTCCTAAGGCGCACGGTCAGCGTCCCCGTGGAGGGGAAGCATCCCGACGAACACGGTACTGAACAATCTTTTTATACATGTTGTGTGTAACATGTCAGCGTTGTGGCACAGAGTACAATGATCCCGCAACACAGGAAGCCGAGAATGGCTCGTTTTACATTATCCTTGCGGATCATTTACCATTGGGAATTGAGGGTTGAGAAAAAAAAAAAAGTGCTGACATCACAATTTCCTCACAATTTGGGACTACCATTTGGTTACCTTTGACCATGTGACAAGTTCACGTTAAAGAAAAAAGTTTTGGTTAAGCTTTTTGATGCTTAAATATAAATAAAACTGTCTATTTAGCTACACTGTCATGACCAGGGCCGGATTTACTCTCTCTGCTGCCCCAAGGCCAGGTTCCTCAATGCGTCCGCCAACCGCCCCTCCATGGAGAATGGCAGACCTACAGGCTGCATACAAGGGATCTTGTCGATATCGCCGGGATCACTTGTACATAACAAGCAGCAGCTTACCCGCTGTACATTTAGCTCTGCTTGCCCAAAGCAGGGCTAAATGTAGAAAGTAACTACCCGCCTGGCGCCCGTAACGGCATGTACCTGGCATCAAGAGATAGGAATTACACACCTCTGTTGCCCCTCTACTCCCTGCTGCTACAAGGCTGGGCCTTGATTGGCCTTGTGGCAAATCCTGCCATGGTCATGACCAGTGGTGGAAGGACTTACTGAAGGATCCTTGCTTCCAGACTGGTGCTGTTTGAGGATCCACTGATTTCTAAAGCCTTGCCTGAACCAAATAAGAAATTTACAGAACTTTGAAACAGTATGATGTCATGGGTTGGAACCTTCTCTGTTCGATCATGAGAAAAATGCAGAGCCTCAATGCATGTCAGTCTAGTATTACGTGAGGGGTGGATACGCTTTACAGCCAAACGTTGGTGGACACCTGACCATCTCAACTACCTTTATTGATAAAAGTATGTGGACACTTCTCTAAATGGTGGAGGTCAGAAGTTTTTATTGAAGGGTACTGTTACTGCTACAACATACAGAGAAAGATTAGACTATTGTGTACTTCCATCCTTGTGGCAACAGTTTGATAAAGGTCCTGTTGTGTTCTAGTTGTTCCAGCATGACTGTGACCCCGTGCACAAGGTCAACTTCATAAAGACATGGTTTTAGGAGTTTGGTGGGGAGGAATGTCAGTGACCTACAGAGAGACTTGACCTTATCCCTACTGAACACCTTTGGGATTGATTGGAAGGCCAATTGCGAGCTAGGTCTTGTTGTCCAACATCAGTACCTGACCTCACTAATGCTCTTTTGGCTGAACGGGTAAATATTCCTATGGACACACTCCAAAATGTTGTGGAATGGCTTCCCAAAAAAATGGAGGTTGGTATAGCGACAAAGGGGCTGGAGGCAATTCCATAGTAATGCTCATTGTTTTGGAATGGAATGTCCAATAAGCTCATATAGGTGTAACGGTTAGGTGTCCACAAACCTTTGGCCTTATAGTCTACGTCCTGTGGAACCTTGCCTTTGGTGTCCACGTATTTGCATATGGAGACGACTTGGCAGTTCTGTGCAGTTTTACCTTGAGCAAGGTTTTCTTCTGCCCTACTGTACCCTCACATAATCCAGGGCAATACAAACTGAAGCATATGATGACAAATATGCATAAACAGACCACACAGCAAAATAGTCATGACATACATTCAACCAAATTTCTTTGTAAATCTTGACTTTTCAAGCAACAGTCACCCTTGCTCCATCCCCTCTTCCCTCTTGGCCTATTATTGGTCCTTTAATGTAATGGCCAGTTGATTGACTGACAGGCATGGCTTTTAAAGAGGTGGGGTCAGGTTTAATTTAACTATGTCTGAATCTGTTGGTCACGTTGACATGCATTTTTCACTGAACGTTACCTGTGTTACTATGTTAGCCTGTGTATTTCTCATTGCATGTTCAGTTTGAATTACCCAAGTAAAAAATCTATGTGATGAATGTACACTTTATTGCTTATGCTTGTTTAGTACTTTGAAGCAGGACCTGGCTTTCTAGAGTTGCAAAGAGTTGGCGTTTTTCTTGGGGATTATCCATCCCGCTTTACAGGTGGACTCTGTGAACTGCTTAAATGTGTATCTGATTTCGCTCTGTTATTTATACATGTGTTATCACTTTGTATCATCCTGTTGATGGTTGGCATGACAACAATACAATCCTACAACAGGTAATGATATCTAAACTGTGGAAAATGTGTAACATGCGGCAACCAGTCATATCGTTTAATTGAAAGGCGTTTTTATCTTCTGAAATAAAAACAAAAAGCAGTAAACAGTAAAATAAACCCAGCAACCTAGCAAAATTCATCCACTCATCATTGCCACTGATCCCTTCAACCCTCTAAATAGGGATAGAGCTACAGTAGGTGGCTAAAGCATGTGGACACCTGATCATCACACCAACCTATATTGCCAAAGCATGTGAACCCCTGATCATCACACCAACCTATAAGGCCAAAGTAGATGGACACCTGATCATCACACCAACACTTTAAAGCCAAGTGTGGACACCTGATCATCACACCAACCTATATGGCCAAAACATGTGGACACCTGATCATCACACCATACTATATGGCCAAAGTAGGTGGACACCTGATCATCACTCCAACCTATAAGGCCAAAGCATGTGAACACCTGATTATCACACCAAACTATATGGCCAAAGCATGTGCACACCCGATTATCACACCAAACTATATGGCCATAGTAGAAGGACACCTAATCATCACACCAACCTATAAGGCCAAAGCATGTGGACACATGATCATCCCACCAATCTATAAGGCCAAAGCATGTGGACACCTGATCATCACACCAACCTATATGGCCAAAGCATGTGGACACCTGATCATCACACCATACTATATGGCCAAAGTAGGTGGACACCTGATCATCACTCCAACCTATAAGGCCAAAGCATGTGGACACATGATCATCCCACCAATCTATAAGGCCAAAGCATGTGGACACCTGATCATCACACCAAACTATATGGCCAAAGCATGTGGACAACTGATTATCATACCAACCAATAAGGCCAAAGCATGTAAACACCTGATCAACACATATATATTTCCAAAGCATGTGGACACCTGATCATCACGCCAAACTATATGGCCATAATAGAGGGACATCTAATCAAGAATTCGCCTTTGCTATTCCGATACACATTTGAAGGAGCCTGTATAAGAATGACCTTTCAAGCATAAACGTATTTTAAAGATAAATGTAAGGACGTTCTTGGAATAAAGTCATTTATTATACCGGTCCTCTAGAGTATAGGGATCAGAAAAGTCCATTTTAGAAAAGGAAAGCAAATTAAATTGTATCCAGAAAGTTTTAATTTGATATTGATTCCATAAGACATGAAAAATATAGTTCTGGGGCAATATTACAGTGCGAGAAAGCAGGAAGCCCGATCACATTGTGATCCAATTACAAAAACAAATGGCAGCATAGAACCAGTTCAGTATTTCTAAAAGATAATAAAAGGAAAACAGTCTGTGATCCCCATAACAGCCAATAAGATTCTTCGATTTAATGATGAAAGACAAGGCAGTGCTGCTCACAGACAGGTTGCTGGTGAAGAGACCCCATATATCTGAGGCAGACGACAATGCGGGCTAGTAGAGCAAACCTTAATTCTTATATATTAGTATATATATACATTATATATACATTAGTCATCATGCATTTGCCAAAAACAAGGGAACCTGTCATCAGAAAATACTGCAGAATGAAACTTGGGAGCATTATAGGTGACACCACGAGGTGCTATGATACAACCATATTCTAGTTCTCCTCCAGAGCCCCCGAATTTTATGGCCATGCAATGTGGAAATCTCGACTTTGCTCCAAGTCAGGGCTCCCCTCCCTACATTCAACATTGCACTGCCAATGACTCCATGCAAGTTTCTGAGGTGCCTGCACTGCATTTTGGAATAGGAAGTGGGGAAGGGGAGCAGTTGAAGCAGAGTCAAGATCTACTTGCTTTTTTGCACCCTGACGTCCTGAAATGTTACAATAAACAACAACAGTATAATTGTAAAGGTGACACCCCCTGGCAGGTGACAAGGATCACCCGTAATGCGGAGTCTAACCACCAGCTTGTTTTCACCAGAGCTCCTGATGGTGGAGATGGGTTTAGCTACTTGCTGGTACCAGGTCGCATCCCCCCCAGGATCGCCCTTCCAAGGGATGAACGAGGACAGGAGGGCTCCAGTGGGAAGCAAATTATGGAGGCATGGGAACCACATGATGGCAGTATGGGGCTGAATCTCTGAATAATTAATAATATATATTGTAAGGTCATACCAGGGGTTGGCAACTTCGGCACTCCAGCTGTGATGAATCTACAAATCACATTCTGTATTGCAAGACTCTGATAGCCACAGGCATGACTCCCAGAGACAGAGGCATGACGGAATTTGTAGTTTAACCAAAGCTAGAGTGCCAAGGTTGCCTAGATTAAGACCTAACTAATAATCTTTCAATTTCTGCATCATTCAATCTGAAATCAAAATGGAGAAATAGACTTTTAGGGGCTGATTTATAAAACTTCAACCAAGCCAGTTCGGCCAGGCCGAGGACCATAGTCCATCTAGTGGCAGGAATGCCATGTAAACAGTATTCACCCAGTCTTTGGCTGGGCGGAAGTTTTATAAATCAGCCCTTTAGGGCCTGTTCACACCACATCCAGATCATCTCCAGACCAGACCAGATTGTTTCCGGACCCAAAATGCATCCTAATATATCCCTATGGGGTTTCTGGGCTCTGTTCACACCAGCGCAGTCCGTTCCAGACCAGACCAGAAAAATACTGCATGTCTCACTTTGTCTGGTCTGAAATGCACTGTAATGCATCAAAACGCATACAAATGCACTGGAATGCATCTGAAAGTCCATTTTATGCTAAAAAAACAGCTCTGGAATGCAGTAAAATTGCTGTAAAAACGCTGCAGAAGACAACGCACTCTGTTCCAGAT